ATGTGATTGTGATGCTGTAATTCTGAGTGTTTTATGTGCTGCAGAACAGGAACCTGCTGTAAAACAGCAATTATGCTGAGTCAGGCTTGATTTTTAATAATCTTTTCCTGCTAAATAAATCAAATCAAATCAAATCAATGTCAATAACCACATGACTTTTAAATAGCTACAAAATGGTCTCCATGTGAACCAGTAGAACAACTCTGGAGTTATTTTAAAACAACAATCTTTTTCTTTTTTTAATTTGAGGCTGCTCAGACCAGGCATTAGCTCACTGTTCAGGTAAACGTTTGTTTTTTTCAAACTGAAGTCATATTTATAAGATATATATAGCTTCATGTTTCATATATATATACACTGCATATAAATTATGAAAATCCTCTTATTAGCATTTAGTTCTAAATACATAAAACTGAGATGATTTGGCTCAAAATCTGCCCATTTCATCCTGGTGGAAGAGCACCTTCGTGTCGTGTCACAAAGCTTCAGATTTAATGGTGTTTTTCACCGTCTTAGTCACAACTCTTTCATTTAGTTCATTTGAGCTGGTTGCTGACTGGAAACAAGCAAGATGGCTTTTAACAACGGGATATTATTTGGCAACATATGCTGCAAATAACAATTTAAGAGATGATTACCCCCTCCATCTAGGAAAATAGGCAACATGGTGCAATCTGTGTGTTTGCGAACGGGCGTCTACTCAATTTAAACAGAAGAATCTGCGTGCAATGGAAAAACGTATGAGTGGAAAATGGCACAGTAATATTCTCACAAGTGACCTTACGCTAAATAGGAATATTGAGATTATATACGTGAGCATGAGTTGCATATCGACGATTCCAGTTATGCTCCTGTTAACATATTGCAGCGGAGAGTCACAGTTTGAGTAATGGGTTACACGTCTGTTGGGTCACAACCAGCCACTGAGATTTCTGCACCCATCCAAAAACTTAATTACACACACAGTTCTGAAAGCACAGAGCAATAAAGGTGCTTGAACTTTTACTGGGAGCTTTCCATTCTGGGCCACTCTGCTGCTGGTTCGTCCCAAAGAAAAGCAACAACATATCACAAACATATGTCCTCTTGTACTTGTTGCTTGGGAACCTGGTGTGTTTCGAGGGAGTGCATGCACGAGAAAAGTAGCTGCGTGTGTCTTCAAACGCAGGGAAATATTTGCTGGATGTCTTAGAAGTAAATTTGGGCAGAGGTACATCACTCTGAAAAATTGCATTTAATGATAACAAACTTAAGGACATTTGTGTTTGGTAGATTATTTCTTTCTCGTAACAATGCTTCTTGGCAATTGTTTCATGTGCGTAACCCCACATACTCAGCTCTACTGCTCATCCCACAAACGCATGTTCCTTACAAATCTGGCACCATTTAAAAGGGAAGTTAGAAGGCTTTCTGGTGGTATAAGATTTATTGCCAAACACAAATTACCTTGCTTTTGGTTCTAAGTACATATTTATAGGTACAATTCAATTCGGTTTATTTATATAGCGCCAAGTCACAACATATGTTGTCTCAGGGCACTGTACATAAAAAAGAATAATCTAAGCAAGAAACCAGCAGGCTGCGTTGAATCACTTCATCACAGTCTCCCATCCTGAGCAAACGGTGGAGAGGAAAAACTCCCTTCTAATCAGGAAGAAACCTCCAGCAGAACCAGGCTCAGGAATGACAGAATGACAACTGAAAGGTTACAAAACATTGTGCTTACAGACAGAAAAAAAGGACCATGAAACTCATCAGATCAGTGTATTATCATGTCTAAATTTATTTCAGTGGCTTCAACTGAAATTTCCTGACTGCTGAGCTGACTCATGTTACTGACCTTGCTTTAAGTCTAGACTGCATGTCCTTGTACATTCCTGCAGTAATTGATCAACTGTCAAGACTGTCAAGATAAAAGTGTTTGAAGGATGAGGAAAGTTCTGAGAGTTCCTCGGTCATACTTGCTTGTTGAGCAAGTTGAAATGAGAGGGATCGCAACAACGAGAGGCAGACTTGGACAATGTCTGCTTTCTGAAAAAATAATAAAATAGAATAAAAAGTAGTTGGCAGGTTCCCTAAAATCGCCTGGGATATAAAAAGTTGTTTGATGTAAAGACGGTTGGCCAGCAGTCAGTGAAAGCTCTCCACAGCGGAACAACTCAGTCAGGCTCGCTGCATAATTCGAAGTTACATTTTAACTGCTGGATGTTCAGTTTTTCTTAAGTGAAAGTGTTATTAGTGTGCATAAAGAGCGTTAATGCACACTAAGCACTCCAGAAATAGGCTTTTTTTGTTACAATGGCTCAGAGGTACAGAATGAGAATCAATTAGAGAGAAAAACTTAAAAGACTGTCATCATATAAAAAACAGACACAAACTTGACTGAGAGGATGTGTGTTTTATTTTGGCAGGAACTACCACTGCTGAGCATCCCTCATGGGTTGAACATGAGTACTTTCCACGAGGCTGACTCCAAAATAAACCCAGATCAGCTTGTTTAAATGCATAAATCTAACTTTGTTGTTCCTGACAAAGTGACTGTGTGAAATAAAAAAATATTGTGCCTCTGATTCATCCTCCATGACCCCTTCAAATGACCCTTTTTTTTGCATGGGCTTTATTTTTATCTCTGTCTCCTGAATTTCCCCGTGCTTCCCTTTTGCTCGACAGCCTTTTTACAGACCGAGACTCTCAGGAGAGCGAGCCTGGCTCTTTGTCTGCAGTCACTATGAATACACTGACACATTTCCTCTGCCTTCCACACAGACACATGTAGTTCAGTCACTATAACCAGCCGGTTATTTCATCTTTCAGCAAAGCTTTTCTGTGGTTTCAAGGAATCCTCAACAAGCACCTTAACCCTCACCTTGTGGAGCATCTCTGTCTTTAGTCCTCGGATGCTCAGGTAGGAGAATTACCCGTGGACACACACCTACACATCAGCTTCTACCTCCAACATGAGATTCAGAACCAGACTACATTTAGGTCAGATGCATGAATTTCAAAGAGGCAGACTACTAAGGAAGTCTAACAAATGTTTTTATTCTGAAGCAGCGCTGCTTTCAACTCTTACTTTCATACAAAGCCAAAGTGTACTCTGCAAATTGGCCATTTTGGCAGCTCTAAATGAAAGTTGCGGCAGAGTCATTTGAATGATCTGACCTGGAAATCTCTCTATCTCAGCCCTGCCAGCCTAATGAATCAGTGTTTTTATATTAATCATATTACTCAGTTGTGCCTCCAGATTTGCTTTTATTGAGGGGAGGGGGCGTGTTGGGGCCACTGGAAACTAAGAAAAGTGCTGTCACTCCTCAACCTATTGAAGCTAGTCTCAAACTTATACTTAAAGGAAACATCATGCTTTTAAATCCTTCTTTTTCCACATTTAAATCATTCAGTTAGGGTCTACATAAAATGAATTCCTTCTTATGCTCCACAATCCCCTCTTTCATCCCTTTCCTGAGGTGTGTTTCAGATCAACTCGTTTTGGGGCTGTCTCTTTAAACCCAAACAAGGCGCTTCACACTCCGTCCGTGGTCCATACAGGCTACTGATTGCTATCATTGTCCTGCACCATATTGGTACTCGAATACAATAAAAAAAAACGCTAGCTCATAAGTTTTGTCTTGTTTTCTTTAGTCCCCTCCAAAGATAAGTCGGTGTAAGTTAGACTCTTTGAAATCTTCATTTTTAAATGATCTAAAAAAAGAAGCCAAGCTGTTACCTTGGACTCCTTAATCTTGACGGCGATGACCTGCTTCCTCTGGCGGATGATCTCCACCAGCTCATCGCACTCTTCCACCAGCTTCGATTCATGCATGGCTGTGTTAACCTGTAGAGACAGAACCAAATATATACTGTACACATGTATACAAATCACATTCTGGACATTTTATTTTGTTTTGATAAAAAATGCATTTGCCTTTCAAAACCTCTATGTAAATGAGCTTTGCAAGATTTCCTTATTTAAAGTCAGGATGATTCATATCAACACCTGCAGAGATTTTCTGACATATATAAATATATATATACACTCACCGGCCACTTTATTAGGTACACCACGCTAGTAACGGGTTGGACCCCCTTTTGCCTTCAGAACTGCCTCAATTCTTCGTGGCATAGATTCAACAAGGTGCTGGAAGCCACCTGGTCCATATTGACATGAAGGCATCACACAGTTGCCGCAGATTTGTCGGCTGCACATCCATGATGTGAATCTCCCGTTT